CTATCGTGATACATTCTTCCTAACTTCACTCCATCCCATACTATTACTGGGTGCTACAGTTTCAATGTGTGTCCCCCAAGGATTCAATTGTTGGCCGTCAATGTGGCAATGTTTGGAGCTGGTGGGATCTTTTAAGATGTGTGACCTAATGAGAGGTGACTGGTTATTGGAAGCATTGCCTAGGAAGTTCTCCAGGTACTCTGGTTAGTTCCTGAGGGTTGTTATAAAGGATTAAGACTGGCTTCTCCCTGGTCTTTGGCTTTGGGGATTAGCTTCCAGAAAGACCTTCTTCACCATAAAGCTTAGTAGAGATTCTAAGGGTCTCTAAGACCTTTTCATGTGCCTGCTCCACTCCTCTTGTTGCCTTTTGGGCAGTAAATTTTAGGATTATGTGCTTTCTCTCCACCCCACAAAGCTAGGCCAGGTGTTAAGATCCCCCAGTTTATTTTCGTATAGGTAGTGCCCTGAAGTGTTCAAAGTTGTGCGCCTTCTTCCAATCCGGCAATCAAGTCAGTTGCTGGTATCCGTGTGCTATCTACAGGGGCCTTTATCTGCCATCTGAGGTGGACAGTGGTGGCTATGGGGTGGGAACAGTTGTTGAGGGTGCTTGTTGGCAAGTTGAGATCTGCAAGTGAGACATCCTGAGAGATGGTGACAAGGCTTCTGGTCCATGATCTGAAAGCCAGTTAGCAGGACGTGTGACCTGCTATTGCGCCAGCTGCTGGGGGCCTCTACCTGTTTTCCCTGCTCCTAGTTATCACCAGACTACAGCCATGTATTGTTCTGGGTGAGGCAAAAATGTTCTTGGGCAGCATCAAGAAAGGCCACCGACTTTACTCTCACTTTCCCTTCTGGGAAAACTCATGGAGCAAAGGGGCCTCTCTTGGCACTAAGCTGGGCTGTCTTATGAGAGGGTGAAGTGGGTAAAATGAAGCTGCTCTCACCCTCTTCAGTGAATCTATTCTTGGATTTCCTCCCCACTTCCACCCCCCATCAGAGTACTAGAAACTACTGAGTTGGACTCTAGAGTTCCCATAAAGGTGTTTAAACTGGTGATTCTGTTAGTGCTAGGATCTTCTACTTCATCATCCTGCAGATCTCAGTCATGGTGCCTTTAATATGAATAGCATTATTCTACATAAAAAGCTACTATCTTTGAGTTTACTTAGTCAAAGGCAAAATATTAAACAAAAAAGTTTAATATAAGGCAATATTACTTACTCTAATATTTATTCTATGCACAACAGTAACATCCCAAAGTATTAGACAGATTCCTGATTTCTTTTTTGAGACATGGTTTCACCATGTGACCCAGGCTGGCCTGGAACTCACAATTCTCCTGCCTCAGTCTCCCAAGTTCTGGGATTACAGGCCTGCACCATCATGCAGCTGCTTGATGTTAGCTGCTTACCAGCTAACAACCTTTCTAGTCAAAGACTGCAAAAGGAAGCATCAGTATTCTCTCATAGATTTACAGGATAGAAAGCTTATTTTAGCATATGACTCTTAAGAATTTTGTATAGGGAGTCCTGCATAGTGCTTGCTTTTAGCACCACAAAGTATTATTGAAAATAACTTTTAAATGGTTTTATCATGTATTCACCAGTTTCTGTACTTTTGCTTTTATTTACAGCTCACTGTACTTCTGTTAAAACTGGAAGTGTCTCACAAACAAAAGGGGGAAGTATTATGTAAGGACGAGAAACACTAATCAAAATAGTTTTGTTAATGTTTATCCCTTAGAAACGAATAAAAATTTGACGAATTACTACTTTTTCATTTGTTTAGTTTCTCATGTAGTAGTCATTATTTTGACCCCAAACTATAACTCAGGGTAAATCATCTCTCAATTTTTTTTTCTCACCTCTCAAATTTTTGAAACATATTAAGTGTTCCATTAATTTCATCCAGTGTTCCAAAATATTAATTTGTGACTCCCTTACCCCTTTTATTTTGGGTTTCTCACCTCCTTGACCTAATCCTACTTTTTCTGTTTATACCTCATTTAGGTGGAACATGTCTTCCATTAGTTTCTGGAAAGGAATACATGGGATGTGTGTTTGTAGAGACTTTTTAGGTTTGAAAATAATTTTATTCTAGTCTCATACCTGGTTAATAATTTGACTCAGTATAGGATTCTAAATTACAAGTAATTTTTATCAAAATTTTGAAGTATATTTGGCCAATTATCCTATAACTACTAGAACTCCTACTGGGAAATCCAACATATTCCTTTTTGTATGAATCATATGAAATGTGTTTTGTTTTGTTTTTCCCTTTCTCTACAAACTTGTGTGATCTACTTTTCATCTTGTAGGGTAGAATAAAAGGAATAAGGAAGATACACAGTAAAAAGAATCTGTATCAGGATCTCTTAAGCATTTTATACTTTTCATAATCTTAAATAGATACTTAATAGCCACACGAGATTACTATTGACATATTACACCATCACATTGACCATGCAGCCCTACATCAGCCACTGTTTTAAAAAAAACAAACAAAAAAAAGCACTATTCACAATAGCCAAGTTATGGGAACAGCCAAGATGCTCCAGCACTGACGAATGGATTAAGAAAATGTGGTATTTATACACAATGGAATTTTATGCAGCCATGAAGAAGAATGAAATGTTATCATTTGCAGGTAAATGGATGGAACTGGAGAACATTATTCTGAGTGAGGTTAGCCTGGCCCAAAAGACCAAAAATCGTATGTTCTCCATATGTGGACATTAGATCAAGGGCAAACACAACAAGGGGATTGGACTTTGATCACATGATAAAGTGAGAACACACAAGGGAGGGTGAGGATAGGTAAGACACCCAAAAAACTAGATAGCATTTGTTCCCCTCAACACAGAGAAACTAATGCAGATACTTTAAAGCAGCAGAGGCTAATAGAAGGGGACCAGGAACTAGAGGAGAGGTTAGTTTGAGAAGAATTAATTTAGAAGGTAACACACATGTACGGGAAAGCAATGCGAGTCAACTCCCTGTATAGCTGTCCTTATCCCAACTGGCAAAAACCCTTGGTCCTTCCTATTATTGCTTATACTCTCTCTTCAACAAAATTAGAGATAAGCGCAAAATAGTTTCTGCCTGGAAGCAAGGGGGTAGGAGGGGAGGAGGACATGGGGTGATTAAGGGAGGGGGTGGGGGGAAAGGGAGAGAAATGACCCAAACATTGTATGTACATATGAAAAAAAAAAGGTTCCTGATGTCTTAGAGATGGAATTTAAAGAAAACACTAATAAAACCAGAATTTGTTGAACACTGTGTCATAAGGTAGATAAGTCTGTCATTTCTATTCAGAATAATATTTTCAGGCTGTTTAGTATACAGCTAAGAAGGCAAGATTGTGGAAATGAAAAAACAAAGATATGACAGAAACGGTTTAAATTTTAAAGAGAATCTAAAAAATCCCCTATAAATACACAGTAAGAATTTTTCTTAAAAAATTGGTGGGATCAGGAACTATCTCCTTTTAGCTAGACCACGACATGCAACAGGATTAGCTAATACATGACACATACTTTCAAATTTTAAGGCAAGAAACGGGTTTTATCCACACAGACTTTCATTTGCTACATTTCTAACTGAAAATATCAAAACAGCTATCTACACATACTACTAAGGGAAAGCCAGTCACAAAAAACTTCATATAACTCCTTTTATATGCAGTTTAAAAACATGCAGGGCTCAAGTGGTACAGTGCCTGCCTAGCAAGCACAAGGCCCTAAGTTCAAACCTCAGTACCGCCAAAAAAAAAAAAAGCAAAGCAAAACTGCTGTGGTGGTTGTAGTAATGACATGGTTATAAAGGGCACAAGGAAACACAAGGGGAACACCACCTCTGGGCTGTTGGACACATTCTATATATTCATATGGGTGGTGGTTACATCAAATTGTATATTTGACACTGGAGCATTTTCCTGTATCTCTAAACTGAGGATACCTTTTTTTTTCTTTTTTTTTTTTAATACTTAAAGAAAAACTGCTGGAGGTCTTAAGAACTTCATTCACTTAGCAATGTTTTGCCCTTATCAAGATTAAAGCCTGTAATTATGAGAAGGAAAAAATGTTTATGGGTCTTTTACAAGCTTTTCTTCCCAATGTACCCCACTTCCAACCTATTCCCTATACTTCAGCCTAAAGATGCTCTATTTGATCAGCAGAGGTTAAGGATAATGTTAAGTCAATGAATGGCCCAGGAGGCATGGATATTTGAGTTCCATCATTTTCAGAACGAAGAAGCGCCAGATTCTTTCTTCCCTAAAACCAGAAGCAAGTCCCCAAGAGGGAATCACGGCGGGCACCATGACTTCAGCCACAGCATGAAAAAAAAAGTACTGGCAAAGACGTCTGTGGACTGAAGCAGTCCTTTTTCCCCTTTCAAATCCTTTTTAGATACAAAAATAAGTGGAATTTAAAGACCTTAACGAGTACTTTAGATTTTAGCAGGAAACTTTGCAAAATACAATGCTAAGACTTCATATTTGTTGACCACTTTCTCGAAGGGCTTCAGTTAATCCCCTGCCAAAGGAACGGAAAGTATCTAAGGAAGGCTGTTCTAGGTCTTGGCGTGGCAAGACCTTCAGGACACCGGCGCGGGATCGGGACCTGCCGCCGACGAGCAGAGCAGTGAGCGGTCCGTGATTCAGGCAGAGTGCGCTTTCCTTGTTTTTATGGAAACCCTGGCTTGTAGGGCGGCGCAGCAGAGCTAGAACACACGCCCGGACCGCGGCACCCTGCCGCAGGAAGAAGGGCGGCAAGGAGAAATTCACTCGGGAAAGCACGAAACACGCTGTCTCAAAGTTCACAGCTCGCTCTCTGCCGACCGTCCCCGAAAAGCTCCCGGGTGAGGGCCAGCCACCCACGCGCTCCCGCCGCCTGGCAGCCGCCCCGCACGCACGTCACTCGCCCCTTACCAATCGGCGCCTAGCGGGTCACCTCCTCCTCCTCCTCCTCCTCCCCGCCCCCGCTCCCCGCCAGCCCGCAGCCCCTCCCGCGCCGGGCCGAGGTCGCGAGCGCCCGCCGGCCGTTTCGCTCTCGCGCAGGCGCGGCAGCTCGGCTGGAGATCTGTGGGGGCTCTGGAGAGGAGCTGACGCCGCCGGCCACGATGGTGCTGGAGAGCGTGGCTCGCATCGTGAAGGTACAGCTCCCGGCTTATCTGAAGCAGCTCCCAGTCCCAGAGAGCATTACCGGCTTCGCCCGACTCACAGGTAACCCTCCCCACCCGCCGGACCCTCTCCTTGCACGCCCCACCAGAAGGGAGATGTAGAAGCTTTCGGGCTAATGGGCGGGGCCGAGTGTAGCGAGCGGCACGTGACCTGCGTGCGCCGGCGCAGTCGCGTCCGGAGCGTCTGTAAAGCAGCCTCTAAAGAGCTTGATGGCGCGAATGCTTGGCCCCCCCGCGAGTGTCTCGGGTGTCTTTTCGTAGCGGGAGACCAGGATTTTGCAGTCAAGGTGCTGAGTGAGGAGCGAGCCGATCTCTTTAATTTCTTGCCCTGTGCTTGTTTATCTTAATGCAGGTTGTCACCGTTATCTAAGGCGTTGTGTGACAGGCAGTCTCACCTGTCCCGGAGCGTGTGTGGGACTGAGGGAGTGGGAGAGAAGTACATACGTACACGTATAACGTATGTGGCTATTTTAATAGTTAGGAAATTAGAAAGTAACCTCCCTTCCGAAAGGGTAGAGTTGACCTATAACAACAGCATGTGAGATCACCTCTTCTACGACAGTCCCGGGAGCAGTGCAGGCAAACTTGCATTGCAGGGAAGGTCCAGTACGCATTCGAATGCCGGTATGCGGGGTCCAATCTTAGAAAATAAATTTAAAATTTAATGAAAAAACAAAGCGTTGTGTATTTAAGATCCCTCCTGTACAAAAATGAACCCACAACTCAGGATTTCACATTTTAAGAATGAAAATCTCCAGAATGTAGTCAATATTTGATTTTCGTTGGATTCTGAGCATTGCATTGTAACAGATTTACAAAGCACCCCCACCCCCACCCCCCCATCCCCGGACTGAATACTATGGTGAGAAAATGTATAAACATGACTTAGGGTATTCTGAGATAGAGTGGTGGCTTAGCCTGGAGCATTCTAAATGTCTGTAGTAGTTGGATCAAAAGTTAGAAGATTGGTGGAAATAAAAATAAGATTTGTTCTGTGTATATTAAAGACAGAATTGGTACCAAATTTGTATTTGGAGGTGGATATCAGTTCCACTCCAAGGAACTTTTGTTTGTTTGTTTAAATTAAAGAATGTTTTCCTCAAACAAATGTACCTCTCAGAGATTAAAAACAAAAACAGACAGTTCTGGTGGATGGATTTGGATGAGATAAACTAGATGAACAATAACTTTTTATGATCGGTGACAACTGCTTTGTTAACATGGATTGTGAGATATAAACATTTTTAGACTTTAAGGGGTTTAATAGAAAATACATGAGTAGAAAACATGGTAATTGAATAATAAACACTAAAAACAAATATGTAAACATCAGAAGCAACATAAGAGTTAACTGTGAAAATACTGTTTCAAATCCCCAGATAACTATAAACATAAAAATCTTTGATCTCTTTTATTCTTAGAGAATTATAGCAGTTGTAAAAATTTGACTCCCCTCTTTATCATTTCTTTTACTTAGGCACTTTATATATTTTAATGTAGTCATCCTCTTGTTCTAACAACTATATAACCTTATCTTACTTTACCGTCACAATAGGACTTATTCTCCTATAGCTGGAAATTTGGAATGTTTCTTTTTTTAAAAATTTATATTTATGATAAGTAGCCATATACCACTTGTCATCCCCCCTTTGAATTATATACTCAAACATACTCACTGAATTGAATGTATTCACTAAATTGGTAATACACAGTGGAAAGGGTATGATCATTTTGTGACATTTGTTCTCTTTTGCCATTTACCTTAACAATTTGAATAAATTAACTTTTTAACAGCCAAGAAAGGGAACCTGCTCCATACTCTCACCCCAGTCCAGGGCAACCTGAATTACATGTGTTGATTGTGATGCTGACTGCATTTATTTTAGTTTCAGTTTTCTGTAATTGGAGTGTAATTGAAGAGATTACAAAGTGTGCCACTGGGGTTAGTGACTGGAAGATTTTAGAAGAGTGTTTTCTTGAAGATCCATATTGTCAACAAATGCCTATTAAGGCACTGAGGAAAATCAACCCAAACTTTTCCCTTTCAGAGTCAATAATATATAGTAACTTCCACTTTAAAATTGTTAAATATGTTGGGTGCTGGTGGCTTACTCCTGTAATCCTTGCTATTCAGGAGGTAGAGATCAGAAGAATCAAGGGTCAAAGCCAGCCCAGGCAAATGGTTTGCAAAACCCTATCTCAAAAATACTTACCACAAAAAAAAGGGCTGGTGAAGTGGCTCAAGGTGTAGGCCCTGAGTTCAAACCCCCTTATCACAAAAAAAAAAAAAGGTTAAATATTTAATGTGAAGACTGTTTCTTAAAAATTCTGATAAACATAGCAGATACTTCAAGTCCCATTATAGTGTGTCTACAATTTAGTTCTCATTATATTGTTTATTTGTTTAGAAAACATGAAAATACTTGTAATAAATGCCAAAAAATATTCCCATTTTCTTCTCTGAAGATCAGTCAGAAAAGTTATAAGTCACTATTTTTGCCTGTATTTCCTTCCCTTTTACATCTAGCAGGGTTTTGTTTTGTTTTGTTTTTAAAGCAATTTGCTCTCTCATGATGACTCTGCACTCTTAGAAAGCACATGAACATCCTTAATTGCCATACAGGATTTAAATACAGATAATTCTTTTTTATCAGAAACTACTTTTGTGTTACATTTTCAGGTAACTCTTTAGAAGTATATTATTATAGTCTAATACTTTGACTTTCAAAAAACCTTTTCCTATCATAAATATTTTAAAAATAATACTGCAACAACAAAAATATTCCCATTCAAAAGTCAGAAAACAATTTACTTCAAGATTTAAAGCTAGCCAGGAAAAGTTTGTCCACTTTGCCTTTTGAAACTTACAGGTTTTAATCTTAAAGACAAACCAGTGTGAGACTTTACTAATATATTTCCCAAGGTAACAGAAACATGTCAGAGTCAGCAACTAAATTCTTTACTGTTATTTCTCCAGAGGGGCCATTTTTGAAACAGAAATTTAGCAGTGAAACAGAGATACACTCACAGAAAGACTGTACAAGTGTGTTCCTACAGCCTTGTGTATAACAGCTCCTAAGCTGGAAGCAACAGGAAAGTAGATAGCTCAGTTTTGATATATTCACAAAGCAGAATACTGCTTAGCAATATTCTAATTCAGCAATACTGAACCATTTGCTGAATTTCAGCAACCTTATGTTCAGTGAAAGACCTATGGTTATAGAAACAGGCGGGAAATAGTGGTACAGGAGAATACTTTCTGAGAGAATGGAATATTTTAGATACTTTCATGTGTTTATCTCTACACATTTTTGCTGGAAGCTACAAAGGGTGTATTTACTTGTCATAACATAGACCTAACCACTTAAGATCTGTTTATTTTACTATATGTAAATTATACCTCAATATTTTTTAAAAGAATGGAACAAAAGGTGAGGTTTCTCAATATGGAAACATAAAAATAAGTTCAGACAAAAAGTTGCCTTTATTAACATAAATTTTTGAAAGACAGGAATTTTACAAAAAAAAATTCTTGACAATTTAGGAAAATATTTGCATAGTTACTGTTAAGTTATAAAAGTATTTTTTCCTTTCTTTCTAGTTGGCCCAACTATTTAAAAGTCAGTGTTATTAAAGATTATGCTGCCTTTGTGAAGAACAGTTTGGCTCTCATTTAAACATTATCTACCATATAACTATTTTGCAATTTAAAATTTTTCAAGTCATCAAGCATTTATTGAGCACCTATGACGGGCCAGGCAAGGTTCTATTCAAAATAGATTGTAAAATGATTTAAATATTGATCATTAATTTTTATTGGCCTTTTAATCCACAGTTTTTGTTAAGTTTGTTGTTTGTTTTTGGTGGTACTGGGATTTGAACTTAGAGCCTGACACTTGCACGCTACCGCTTGAGCCATATCTCCAGACTTATATTAAGTTTTAAGTGGGAATAGTAAAGTCTTTCAATGATAATATTTTACTTTCTCCCAGTACTTGGGAGACTGAGGAAGGAAGATGGGAGTTCAAGACCAAGCTGGGCTACAAAGCAAGTTCCAGCAAGCTTGGAGTACATAGATTCTATCTCAAAAACAACAATGACAAAAGTATTTTATTTTCATCTTTTCTTCAATTGAGAAGTATCATTTCTACATCTTAGTTATAAATGATGCATAAGAAAATACATTATAAAATTAACAGCAACCAAGTTTTCAATATTATTTTTATGGTATTGTTATATTAACCTTTTGTAAATTTGAAAAGGAAAAAAATATGCTCTAATTTATTACTCATCATTGAGATCTATATGTGTCTAGTGTACTTTATATTATTTTTATAATAAAAGTGTCTGGAAATGTAGCTCAGTGGTCAAACGTGTGCTTAGCATTCATGAGGTTTTGGGTTTAATCTCCAGCACCCCCCAAAAAACTATTAGTTTTTATATCTTGATCAGGAATAGGGTGTCATAGCTAGCCTGTGTCACTGTGTCACTATATGCCCCTTCTTAAACCTAATTCTTTTTCTCTAAGAAGATACTTTAACAGTGTCTAAACTTTCAGAAAGTATATGTTGAAATTGCTTGTTACTGAGGTTGTTTTGAAATGTTCTTTTCTGTCTTGGTTTTGTTTTTCTGATAGTGCTGGTTTTTTTTCTTCTGCTTTCTTAGTCTTACTCTTTATCTTAATAATGGTATATAGAAGTCAATATAAATAATAGAAGCCTGTCCAGTATTCCTGGTATAAATATGGTCTTATTTTTTACAAATTAGAAAGAGGCGAGTTGTTTTCATTTAAAATGAAATCTTCACAAAGACAAAGTATTAGAAGTGAAAAATTTGTAATTAAGGAAAAACTTTAAGAAAATTCAGACTGTTAACAGTGAAGTGAGTAAACAAAATGTTTCCTAACTGGATGGATTTTTAATGGATTAAATATTGAGCCAGTTACATGTATATGACTTAATTATAGTCCCAAATGCATTTCTTTGCAGCTTCTAATCTTCTCTCTTAAACTTTCGTTTTCTGATTCTAACTCATCATCTAAAA